ATGTTCTTTTCAGATGGTATCTTTTAAAAAACTGTCAATAATTTCCGTGGCAACGTTAAGTTTAAAACGCCTTTTCAAATTGTTTTGTATGTTACAACATGAGTTGTCAGTATTTTAATTTAACTTTAAAGTTCGCTAACTTCAAGTCTGACAAATGATTAGATTAACGGAAATGCATAAAATAACAGTTTTACAAATGATTGGTTACAGAGATAAAACCCGAACACAAAAGAAAGTAGCTCGCCTATTTTATGAGAAATTTCCTAATTTACCGCCCATATCTCAAGGAACAATAAGCAAAATAGAGAAGCAGTTTCGCGAGCTTGGTCATGTGGGGCAGATAAAAAAAGCATCTGCCAATGCAATGGGTGATGAACTCAAATTAGATTTGATGCTTGAGTTTAAGGAAAACCCACATACATCGAGTGAACAGGCATCCACTACATTCAATGTTAGCCATACATCGATAGTAAACATTCAAAGAAAATAAAATGCATCCCTATAAAATTATAACTACTCAGGAGCTCATGAAAGACGATTACGATTTTGGTAGAAAAACTTATTTTTGTGAGCATATGATGGATAAGTTGGTTAACAATATCATCCAATTAGAAGACGTTATGTTTTCTGATGAGTGTACTTTGTTTGTTAACGGTCATGCTAATCGGCAAAATTGCCGCTATTGGTCAACGAAAAATCCTCACTGGATGAGAGAAGAACACACGCAATACCCTCAAAAGGTTAATGTTTAGGCAGGGATTGTAGGAAACCATATAATTGGTCCCTTTTATATTGACGGCAACTTGAATGGCGATAATTATTCAGCACTACTTCAAAATGATATCATTCCAAGTTTAGCAAATTTATATCCTGATCCAGGAAACCCTCAAGTACCAGTTAATATGATATGGTTTCAGCAGGATGGAGCACCACCACATCACCAAGTTAATGTCCAGCAGATATATGATGGAATTGGACGATACTTGATGAAAATCCATAACTAACGTATTCAAAAAAAACACATTATTGTGAGATTTTCACTAAACGATTTTACAAAAACGCAACACGTGTTTCGCCATACTATGTGTCTTTAAAGACATGAGACCTTACATCAAACGATATATCACAAACTTATACTTCCCATTTAAAAAAATGGGGGTTGTACCTATCATTCGAAGGGGGTTGAGGGTAGGGATGGCATTTTTACGTTGAAGAATGTCAAATTATGATTTACATTTGACGTGTTTCGGGATTTTTTTTTAATATGTACAGTAACCGAAATGATGAAAAACACAAAAGGAAGTAGCTCGCCTATTTTATGAGAAATTTACTAATTTACCGCCCATATCTCAAGGAACAATAAGCAAAATAGAGAAGCAGTTTTGCGAGCTTGGTCATGTGGGGCAGATGAAAAAAGCATCTGCCAATGCAATGGGTGATGAACTCAAATTAGATGTGATGCTTGATTTTGAAAGAAACCCACATACATCGAGTAGACAGGCATCCACTACATTCAATGTTAGCCATGCATCAATAGTAAACATTTTAAAAGAAAATAAAATGCATCCCTATAAAATGATACCTACTAAGAAGCTCATGGAAGACGATTTTGATAGAAGAACTTATTTTTGTGAGCAAATGATGAACATGTTGGATAACAATATCATCCAACTAGATGTGTACTTTGTCTCTTAACGGTCATGCTAATCGGCAAAATTGCCGCTCCTGGTCCACGGAAAATCCTCACTGGATGAGAGAAGAACACATGCCATAACCTCAAAAGGTTAATGTTTGAGCGGGGATTGTAGGAAACCATAGCATTGGTCAATTTTTCATTGAGGGCAACTTGAATGGCGATAATTATTTGGCACTACTTCAAAATGATGTCATTCCAAGTTTAGCAAATTTATATCCCGGTCCAGAAAACCCTCAAGTTCCAGTGACTACGACATGGTTTCACCACCACATTACCAAGTTTAATGTCCAGCAGATATATGATGGAATTGGCCGATACTTGATGAAAATCCATAACTAATGTATTAAAAAAAACACTTTATTGTGAGATTTTCATTAAACGATTTTACAAAAACGCAACACGTGTTTCGCCATACAATGTTTCTTTAAAGACATGAGACCTTTCATCAAACGATATATCACAAACCTATACTTCCCATTCAAAAAAATGGTGGTTGTACCTGTCATTCGAAGGGGGTTGAGGGTAGCGATGGCATTTTTACGTTGAAGAATGTCAAATTATGATTTACATTTGACGTGTTTCGGGATTTTTTTTTAATATGTACAGTAACCGAAATGATGAATTTATTCTATTTGGCTTTTACAAACTGTATAGCAACGGAAAATAAGGCATCTTGAGTTGTCATTGTCGTTGAGTGAATTCACTTTGTTGTTCCGAGTTTCAGTCAAAGCTTTGCCAGACATCATTCAATTTCCTCATCAGCTGTTCAAATTTGGGTCATTCTGGTAAACCATTTGAACTAGGAATTTTCAGTACTCGTTTAATATCATTTGGAATACTTTCGTAATTGGCCAGTGTATTTGAACTCCTTCAATATGCATCTCCATTTGCTGTGTAGCTTGAAAAAAACGGCCAACTCTAGCCACGGAGATTTCTTGGCATCAATGAGAAGGTTTGTCTAATAATTATCCGGTCAAAAAGACCAAAAAATGGGAGTGACGGAACAAAAATTCGCTCCTAGTGCAGAATATGTAAATAACTACATCCAGATAATATACCATCCAGAAATATACTATTACATAATTACATGAAAACAATACATATAAATAATCAAGTCTAGGTAAAAGTACACATATTATTACATATAAGCATCGTCAATTTCATGTCGTTTCGTCATTGAAATATTCTTTCAGATTGTAATAGGCTTTAGATGTCTTTCATGTATCTTTTTCTTAAAAGTTTTGAGAGAATCCATGTTCTTCATATCTGCAGGTAGTTTATTATTCATTTTGACACCGACTTGAATTGAGTCTTTGATCAGTGTGGATTTAGGGATGATTAATGATAAATTCATTGCATTCCGTGTAGTGCGATTGTTATTTTAATATAAATATTTATTTTTGTAAACGAGACATGTAGCTTCTAAAACGTAGATTGAGGTTATTGTCAGTATTCGGTAGTTCAGGAAAAGAAGTTTTCAGGAACTCAACCTATTTACTTGGCACAAATATCGCAGTAAAATTATACTCTCAAAGAGTTCATTACTACACGAACCCCAGAACTGGATTGGGTACCTAAAGTTTGACTCAATGAGAGCAAAATAGACATTTTTTGCTGCAGCATAACCTGACTCGTTTGTTGTCCGCTTCAGCCTAGTTCGAGGAATGATACTCTGAAGAAATTCGATTTTCAATTATCGGAAATCATCGACTTTATGTTGATGATAGACACTACCTTGCACTGACGAGCGGCCAAACAGACCGAAACCGGTCTGCAAGTTTGTTCCAATAATTGAAAATCGATTGCGGCACTTGTATGGCCAACAACATATGAGTAATATAGCTTTAGGAGTTCTGGCTCATTCCTTATGGAAAACCACGTGAGAATTTGAGCAGTTTCATTCTGGCGATTTTTGGACCTCAGCCCCAGTTCACACGGAAGGGACAAAAGTCCGCGCCTCGTCTCTGCTATAACGTCCATTCTGTGTGAATTGGGCCTTAGACTTTCAGAGCCCACACCTCCACTTTTGTCGTCATACAGTCGTCCAATCAGAAGCTACCGCGCGTACAGCGGGAAATTCAAATCAGTAGGTGAACAAACTTGTTCCTGGCTCAAAATCTCATGTATTTTCTTATGGAGCTAAACTTTTTGCAATTTTCATGACATCCGAGCGGAACCTTGTGGAACACCCAACTCGAGGTAGGTGTGTTTCGAGGAGTGGGAGAGAGAAACGTGTGATGTAATCGATGCAGGATGGAATGGGTATCGGAGAGATTCAAAGAGCGTGGACCTTCGTCGGACTCCGGCCACACCCCTCGGGCCCACTTGAGACTCCGCTTCACCCCTTGGGCCTCCTTGTCACGTGGTCCTAATTGAAAGAAGTGTATCGGTATGAGGTTTGAAAGCAGGTCGTCGGCGTGGTAGACGTTGTCCTTACCCTCGACACCAACGTGGAATATTGGAAGTAATTGCAAATTGGTTGTTTTTTCGGGACTGAAATTGACTCATTTTCATACTTGACCTCATTTTTTGATTTCCGTAGAATTTAGGGAAATTGTGACGTCATTGTCATGAAGAAGATAGGAAAATATCCGTTAGATTTGGGGAAGAATTGAGGTTTCATATAAAGTTGTGTGTTTGCTAGAGTGGGAGACAAGCGTAACGTAATCGATGCAAAGAGAGATGGAGATGGTATCGAGGTTATACTACGTCGCTAGCGCAAGAATGAAGGTTCGGTGTTGTCGGTTGTAAAATAATTCGCTGTTTATGGGGAGATGTAGCATTTGAAGCGTTGCCGGTTTCAAAATTAAGCAGGAAGGGTTAGGAATACGACTCGATAAAAATTGTATATTGGAAGCGCGAAAGTTATATATTAATGATGATGAATCAGATTTAAGAACAAATATGACAGTTTAACACTTCAACGTGCTGTCCCTCAGTGTGTACAGGGTGTCTCAAAATACATCATTTAAGGAAAAAACATGTCGTTTTAACGGCAGCGTGGCTCCCATACAATGGCTTCTTCGGCGTGTAAAAACAGAAATAAAATCAAGTTATCAAGTTCAGTAGAAGTCCCATGGCTTTCGAATTTTCAGACATTATCGAAATTTGAAATAATTCAAGTTTTTTGGGAATACTATTCCTAATTAGTTGTACTTTCCCACTTTCTAATATAGTTCGCCATACAACTCAGATTGTTTCGGTAAATTTGTAACTCGTCTATGATTTGATGTATTTCCAGTAACGTGGAAATAGTCGAATTAACCAAACTTTCAAAATTGTTACTGTTTTGTTTTTTTTTCAGAATGTCCTAATCAAAGCCCTTGATTCAGGTAAACTGCAGGCTTTGGTGGGAGACTTTGGTTTGTCAACGAACATCCCCGATCCAAAGGAGAAAACTAAATTACCCATCGTCGGTTCTCCTTACTGGATGTCTCCTGAAGGTCTCAATGGCAAATATTATGATGAGAGCAGCGATGTCTTCAGTTATGGGATCGTACTCTGCGAATTGATAGCTCGCGTCGACGCTGATCCCGACTATTTGCCCAGAACAGACAATTTCGGCCTGGACTATCTGGCCTTTTCTGAGCTGTGCGGTTCCAACATTGTACCTGAATTCTTGACGCTTGCCTTTAGGTGAGATATTCCATTTCATCATTTAATCTTCAATCGAGTTACTTTGTGACAGTCAAATGGTATCTACTCGATAATTGTACTCGATGACTGACATTTTCCTACTATAAGACACTACTTTACATTTGGATGCTTTGAGATATAGTTTGTTAACTCCACACCAAGTCTGTAAATTTTCAAATCATCTGCAAAAAGTAACTTTATTACAATCGATATAATTACTGAGGTGATTAATAAATAATAAGAACAGAAGTGGTCCGAGATTTGACCCTTGAGGTACTCCAGATGAAGGATTGTAATAAAAAGAATCATAGCCATTATAAGATACAAACTGTTCGCGTTGAAGTAAGTAGGGTTTAATGAAAAGCACTGCTGAATTATGGAAACCAAATTGGTGGAGTTTTTGTAGACCTACATTAAGGTTAAGACCTACATAGACACTAACATATTCATTGCAGTCAGAGTTTTTTCAATTATGTTGGTGAATCATTGAGTGCCAAACTTTTTTAGAAATTTTGTGAAAATTATTTATAATTCTTATGAAATGTCAACCAGATGGACGAACGTCCAAGAAAGCGTTTTCACATTTTATGTATAAACCACTGGAAGGTAATTTACTCAGATATATTTTGTGCTTTTCAGGTGTTGTGCTATTGAGCCTAAAAGTCGTCCAACATTTACTGAAAATGTGAGGATGTTAAGTGATATTCTGACTGATATGAAAATGCCAGCTGAAAAGGAGGCAAGAATAGCTAGTTGCGTTGCAAAAAGTGAAGAACAGTTGCCGTTGATTTCTGTCCAAGCATGTGCTCCACAACACCGCAAAAGTATGTATTACTGTTTGGAAAAAAACTTTTCATCATATTTTTATCCTTTGTTGCAACAGTGTTGATGTTCACGATCAGTTTCCTAAACGGTTCAATTTTGAATGTAATAATTTGGAAACAACTGTTGAATAAATTATTCAAAATTTGAAATGAATTTTACTGTTGTATATAGTAGAAATTTAATTTTCAATGAAGCCGAGGAGATAATTTATTTTGTTTCAGTTGTTCACCGGCGGTCTCTGTCAGAAGACACTTCAATGTTATCACTTTCAATGTATCCTACACCAAGTGACAAAGCACGTCGACATGCATTGTTGATGTGCCGGCAAGATCCATACTACAAACCACGTACCACCAATCCCTTCACTGCTCTTGTACAATTTCAGGGCGTCAAAAAGTTCCTTGGTAATTTTTCTTCGTGTTGTGAAATTCCATCACCTTTAATAAAGCCTACCGAATCACCCAAATCTCTGCCTGGTTCACCGACAGCTACTCGCAAGGCGACAACAATTAGATCACCTCTTTTTGTACATCCCTTGTATAAAGGCGGATCCAGTTCGAACTTGTCGGAGTTTACTACAGAATCGGCTATTACTGGCCTCAGAAGGAGAGGATCTTGTGAATCTGGATTTTACTCCAGTGTAGGTGAGTGTTTATCCCCAAATAGCCTCTGGGGTGATAGTGGCACTGCAGTGAGTTCCTTGAGGTCTCTAGACGAGCTTGAACAGCATGCTGAGTTACACGCCTTATGTAAACGTGCTTCCTCGATATACACCGATAGTAGTGAAGATATATCAAGTCTTGCCGGATCTGACTGGCCAAATGATTTGCAGCCTAATATTTCGACTATAGTAGACTATTTTGAAAAGAAAGGAGCAACTTTGAGACATCCAGGAGGAGTGAGGGGAGGATTGCAACTGAGCTCACGAATAGCAGCTTTGAGAAGATCGTTAGAGAAGCATAATTCGGGGGCTTCTAGTTCGAATTCACACTTGACCCCGCAGAGGCATAAATGTTCTAGGTTGGTTGTATGTGAAGGTGCTGTTAGGTCCAAATTACCGCTCTTTGATAAGAAGTAGATTGGTTTTCCTTTCGATAAGATGTTTCAGGAAATGTAACCAGAATTTTACTTGTTTTAAGATGAGTATAGAGCCTTCATCTGGGTAAAATTTTATATTTACGTAGAACCCCACACTTTATCTTATATCCGGTTGAGTTGGCTGAATTTCTATAGATGTGTTTTTGAGTACACAGTTAATGATTTTGAAAAATAATGTTAAACTTGTGTATCGTTTGAAATTTAGGGTTAACTTAAAGCTATATGGATTTAATACCAGTAACGCCATCTGTTTGTTAACCAACGAACTTTTCGGTTCATCTAATACTTAACGCTTTTTGTGATATATGGCTAAATTGACTGAAATCTTGGAAATTCTGACGATTAATAGGGAGCTATTCTCCATCAGATGAGTGTGGAGTTCTTTTATTTTTCTTAACCTGGATTTTGAGAAGAGAAAAAATAATTTTTTTTTAGCATCTAATGTTTACAAGTGTTCTAATTTGTGCCCTGGTAGTGAATGAATTGAGAATGAATATTTGTATAGGGTGCGGTTGTTGAAATTGAAACAATAGCAAGTCAAAATCTTAAAAAAAGGGGAAAGGTGAATAGAAAATGTAAACATATATACAATTTTCATGTAGTTAGAAATCAGGCAGATTAAATCTAAATAATTGTACATAAATCTGTGAGGTAATGAATTCATTAGTGGAAGTTGTACCCCTGAATTAGCTACAAATATGGATTGGACATTAGATATTCTTTTTATTTGATTTTGGCTATTTTCCGATTAATATCAAACAATAATTTAACAAATGCTCTTGGCCTGATCTTTGTAAAAATAAGATAGAAACTGTAAATGTAAATATTATGAATTTCTTTTATTTAAATTATTTTTATTTCAAGAAAATTTGAATTCACAAACATTTTCAGTGCAATTATATGATAATAGAGCCCTACGTAGGGAAAGTCGGTAATTGTAAGTAAAAGGAAATTGTGGCGATAAATTCAAAGATAATTGATTTGAAAGGAGGATATCGGAGACAAATCAATTGTGCATATGAAATTCAGACCATTTCTAAAAGATATGGAAGTTTACCTGTCGAAAATAAATGAAGCAATATATATCAAACGTAAGTTACCCAAAGTATATGGGTAATTGTACACGACACTGAATTATTCACGAAAGAGATATTTCAACTAAATCAGGTTGAGCAATCGCTAGAAATGGTCAAAAATCTATTGAAGAATAAGTTCTTACGATTTGAGGAAGTATTTACTACGTACAATTGGCTTGCAGATGTCACATAAAACAAGTAACAAAATCTTCATTCTATGCTGGCAAACTTGTGGTGACCTGACTCGGGAGGTCCTGAATCTTGATATTTCATTATTAAGACTGGTGCTTCACCATAAAAACACACTTGTCACATATCATTGCCACATATGACATCATGATTAATTTTTTTTTTATGATACAATAAACTCGAATACAAATAACCAATTTAAAGTGAACGTAGCAGAACAAAAAGTCATATATGATATAACAGAACTTCGCACAATCGTCAGCTGTATATAACTGCCCGTCTCCAAGACATCACCACATGGTTTATTCCACGAATGTCCAGTACAAATAGGATGTCATTGCCATATTTATTGATGATGTTGACTATTTTCACAATGAAGCATACAATTACCCTGCTTTCCCTTACAATTTTGAAATGGTTAAAAAATTTCGAACCTGCAGTTTTCTTTTTTGCTTCCTATTCGTAAAATAGCTAGAAATTTAATAAAAAAATTCATTTGTCCTCGACTCCTCATTTAAAGTTGCTTTGGGCATAGTGGGCAGTATTAACCTTAATTACGAATAAACTTAAGAGTTTAGACAAATTTTTTATTTAATTTTTTTGACTTTTGAAAAAAGTCATCGAAAAGTTTGTTACATTTTTGTGTTGTTTATTAACGTGCTTGATAGGTCTAATGGTTACATGTCCAGAATCATACGTTTTTACTATTTCCTTCTAGTCAGTTTGTATCTAAAGTATTCAAGGCCTAAGTGACGCTGGATTTTGAAAGTATATTTTATACTCCAATTGTAAATAGTTATTGATGGAATTGTCCTGTATGATTAAAACAATTTAAAGTGATGATTGACTGAGTCAGAAGACTGGATTGTAAAGTTTGTCACTTAAGATAGCGAAGCCCTTTTGGAGGAATTTTTAAAATATGTACCAGACTTCTTTTTATATATCCATGATCAACTATTCGAATTGTCGAGCTAATTCGATTTGTAATTCTTCAAATGGCTTCAACAACGCCTTTTTATTAGGAAAAGTAAATTGAATAATATGCTATTTTTATTCAATTCTAGATTGTTCAGTGAATACAAACATTTATAATTAGCATGTAATGCTGTCAAATTCGATAATTATGATAAATTGACTTTATTCATGAAAGTGAATGAAATTGCAAAGTGAAGTTTTACATGGTCTTCAGCTTAACCAAATATACTCATTTTCCAATTCTCACGAGGGATTCAAATTTAGCTCAACCAAAATTTCTCACATCAATACAGCAAAATTCGTTTACACTCTTGAACATTTTGGAAGTTCTTGGTTCTTGAATTCATATCGTTCAAACAAAATACAAAGAATGGTTACTTGAAATGATATCGTGAAGTGCAAATAGGATTAACATGAAAATTTTATAAAACAATACATGAAGATAAACTAGACAAGAATTTCTTGTTAATTATTATTGAATATCATATACGGTCCTATTATAGAAATTTAAGGTGAAACCATTTGAAGAAATTGAGTATTTTTAATACTTACCTCAAATAATTATCATCAGACTTTTGTGACAAGAGTTTTTGAAAATTCCTTTTTTTTTTCCGTAGTATTCGTTCGGGGAATATTATTCCGTGTGTGTGTTTAATAAAAATACGTACAAAATAGTATTGATGCCTATTAAGGTAAATGTAACTTTTGCAATAACAATTTCTATAAAAAATGTGTTATATTATGAAATTGAATTGAATTTTTTCTTCCCATAATATACTGAAAAGTATTAATGGCTATTGCATATTTTAAAAGATTATTTAGGAAGTTTATAAAAGGATATATCTGGGATAATTATGTATTGCAAGATATGATTCTTTTATATCACTGGCAGATTTTTCAGTTCAGACAACAAACTACTCGTTTTTCCCCAACTTCAAAACAGTTTAAAGTGTTTCTAGTTGATAAGTTGAAAATAATAATTCAATTCTGATGGTAATGCTTTGGGTGTTTTCATTTCATTTACACATTACAATGAATTATAATTTGCGATGTCCGATACTTGATGAAAATCCATAACGAATTTAAGAAACACTTTATTGTGAAATTTTCACTTAACAGTTTTACAAAAACGCAGCAAGTGTTTCGTTATACTAAAGCTTCTTCAGGAGTGTCTATACTGCGTATAGATATGCCTGAAGAAGCTTTTGTATAGCGAAACACTGTTTAGTAAAAATCTCACAAGAAAGTGTTTCTTGAATATATTTAATTATAAGTATGTAAAGCGTTGGATAATCAGATTTATTGGAGGTCTCTTACAGAAATGGAATTTCAATGGATGATGTACATTTTGAATTGATAGATTTGTTGTTCGGGTGGTGTTGAAATGATTGCGAATTATAAATTTAGAATTGGTGATTGCACAAGAGAATTCATACCAAGACAGCAATTAACATGTCATTCAATTCTGTCAATTTTGTAGTGTTTGGTTCTTTGGAAACTAGTGACAAATCACAATTTTGGTGATTCAAATTTGCATTCAATGAATTGCAATATGAAAACCATAACATTGGTAGCTATGAGTGACGTTCCAAGTGGAACAAAAATTGTTACATAATATAAAAATGTTTTTTCAATTGTGGTTTAACAATCAATACTCTCACATGATGATTTGCCGCTGAAAAATAATGTTGGATAATTAAATATCTAAACTCTGGACGAGAATACAAAAAAATTGATAATGATGATGAAATGAACTCAATAATTTTGTTTCTTCCTGCAAGATGGAAGTGTTTGTGTTCTGATGTACTTTTTTATAAACGAATTATTTCAAGAAGTTCGTCAAAAGTAGAAAAAAGAGACTGTTTGTTGAATATGAATTGAATAAACAAAATGGTACCATAAAAATGTTTTTGTTGTCATTTACAATTTTTCCAGAATTTGGATATTGTCAACAGGTTCAAAAATATTTAGCAAGTAGTTATGTGAGACTATATAGTTTTATTTCATCTAATGATTCGTTATTTTTTTATTTATGAAGATTGCCGTCCAATGACGAAATTAGTCTGGAATCATCGGTTTTTATTATGTAATTTGATATATAATTTTTTGTTCAACTCTGCAAGTATTAATATTTTCGTAACGGTCTGTTTGTAATCTTCCATAATGTCTTGTCAATAAATATGTATACAAGTTGTTTAGGAATAAAAATGATTTTTTGTCGAAATATATTATTTGTTTATATTCACTTCAAGTAACCTTTCTGCTTATGGGGACTGTTGAAGAGAATTCAATCATACCTGAATCATTTTCACAGATGTCTAGTCCAGTCTAGCCAAAGATTATGATGATGGTGAACCCAGAGAATAGCAATCTCTTTTTGACAAAATGGATTAGACTTTCGCGGCTGAGGTTTTCAGTGTCACCGTTTTTTGAGTTTGAAAGCCGTGGATTTTTGGAATTTTAGATTTCAGAAATTACAAAAATCCACGGCTTTCAAACTCGAAAAACAGTGACACTGAGAATCTCTTTTTGAATTCATTCTTCAACTTTTCTCAAGTGTTTCGTCTTTCAAGGAAGAACCTACTCTTTGGAATTAGATTAAATCAAAACATTAAAATAATGAAATCAAACTCCATTTCTAATCTCAGCAATCAAATCCACTTTGATTAATTTCTACTAAATAAATTATTTACAAAAGTATCATCTTGTTAAAAATACAAATATTATACTAAAATTCCAGAATAGTAGGCACTAAATTCTCAGAAATATTGCATTAAAAGAAAAAATTTGTCAGGTTGTGATTCTATATTTCACCATGTTCTATTTAAATCATAGACTCGCAGCTAAATGGTCATAAAATAACGGACAAAGTGTTTTATTCATTAAAGAAACTTCCTGCTAACGAAATGTATTCAACAGCATCAATGTTTATTAAATGAATA